CACAATGGGAATAGTAGTTAAGCATAAAAATAAAGGTGCGAGGAAATTGTTGTAGGACAACAATGCACGTGTTCTCATTTTCCCAAACATCCAAGGAGCTTTGGTTTTATTTGGAGAGAAATAAGTCATGTGCTGAATGTAAAACAGTTATTATGTTGCTGTATATATTATAAAAATATTGTTTTTTTCACAGGGTGCAAAAGGGAAAAGGAATAAACATTTGTTGAATGCCTAATACATGCTAGAAAATAAATGTATGCAGTATATAATTTAATCTTTACAAATTGGGATTATTTCAGAGCATCAAAAAGATCAGCTCATTGTTTCTAGTTTCTTGCCAGTACCAAACAATAGTCAGCACATGAGTTTCAGAGCCAAATGGACCTGGTTCAAATCTTTACCTGGGTACTTCCTCACTATATTACCAAGTTGCATAATTTCTCTAAGCTTCAGTATCTGGGTTGTTGTAAAGATTAAATGTTCAAGATGCTTAGTATAGTGTAGTACCTGTTATATAAAAAGCTCTTATTAATGTTAATTACAACTAGTAACACTAGTAATAATTTTCAGTTGGCCCACTCTATTGGTTTTTAGAGTCATTGGTTCTGCCATGAAATAATTATACCATAGGCAACACAGGCATCAAAGGAGATAAAGTTATAAAAGGAAATGTTTCTTAAACTTTGCCCAGCATCAGATAGAAAAGAGGAAGATGGGACTTTCCTTACTAAGATGTTTTTGAGCTAACTAATAGACTGTAAAGGAAACTAAAAAATGAAACTCAAGTTTTCCTCCTTTCTCCAGCACAAGTTCATTTACAAAGTATTTACCTATTACCAACTCTCAGAAAAGAGAGAGTGGGGAGGGAGGTGACACACCCAGTATACGTGGGAAAGCTAACATCACCCAGTGGATGAAGCTTAACTTGTCTCCCTTGATCTGCCACACATTTCATAAGTGACCTTGGCCCACATACCCATGTCCAGTTTTTTTCACTTTCCTTTTCTCTAAAACTGATTCTGGAGTTGATCCAACTTAGCAGAATGACTTGGAGATTTTAAAAACAAACAAAAAATAAGACTGTATACAATAATTTGATGATAAAAAATACTATAAAAATTTCAAATGCACATTATATTCAAAATGATAGTTCCACTTAATGACATCAGATGCAAAATCCATTTATGTACTTTTTCTTATTTTGCACTTTTTAGAGAAAATTTTAATGTGAAACAAAGGAATATTTGGTAAAATATAAATACTGTATACTACTGAACTCTAAATTTTTATAATTATGATTTTAAACTTCCAGGATATCAGAAGAAAGTCCCACTTTTAATATTTTGATCTGATTAGAAAACTAGAACAGAAAATTGTACCGTTTTTCATTATTTCAATATTCGTACAGCTCATAAAATAAAATTCTATAGTTCTTCCTCATTTGTTCCACAGCTAAACTCAGATGACATATTACAAGTTTAGCGAAAAGCAAAATTCATTTGGTTGTTTTGTTTTAGAAAGTTCTGAGCAAATAGAACCACCATTGAGGTAGAGTAATGCTTTTGGAACTAACTTCGCTTTGGTGGCTAAGACTCCAGACACATGCTATCAAATACATAATCACTAGCTATGTATGGCTATTATGCATCTTAAATGTGGCTAGTCTGAATTAAGATGTGTAAAATAATAAATGGGATTTTGAAGACTTAATACCAAAAAGAGTTAAATATCTCATTAAAATTTTTTATATTGATAAAACCTTAAAATGATAATACTTGAATATATGGGAGATAAATAAAAACATTAAGATTATTAAAGTACCATGATAATAAAAATATATTCAATTATACTAAAATGATATCTGAATATATTGGCTTAAATAAGACAAGTACTAAATCACTAAATTTTATTAAATTAGTATTAAATTTTAAAAATGGATTTCCCGTTTTTCTTTTAAAATATATTTTTATTGATTTCAGAGAGGAAGGGAGAGGGAGAGATTGAAAATTTTTAAATTACATTTTTGGCTTCTATTATGTTTCTACTGGACAGTGCTGCTCTAAACCAGTGTTATTCCCGCTTCTGACACTCACCACTATCTTTGAAGTGCACCCATTCTCTTAGGGAAAGGGGAAGGCTATTTTGTTTTTCAGAGTCAATCATACTGTAGCTAAGAAATAAGCCATTCTTTACTTGAGCGATACAATCAATCTTAGGTGGGCCTGCTGCTCATTCAGAGAGAACTCAAGTTTCCTTCCCATTAATGAGAAAACGTTGCTCACCTCTGTGGTTGGTATGGGGATTCCTGGGCCTGACATCCGGACAAGGTCTTCTGTCCTCCATGATTGAATCACTTGAATTCCTCCGCATTCACGTTCCTGTAAGTTACCTGGAAATCTGTACAGGTTAAGAGAAATTAGTGCCCTTGAAACACAGCATCTAGCAGAAAAACCCAGAACAGCATTAAACCAATCCTTCTGTTTCTACATTGTAATGATTCGTTAACTAAGAGTTAAACACATTACGTTTGTTGTTGTTAATCCTCTCCTGAGGATATTTTTCCATTGGTTTTTAGAGAGAGTGGAAGGGAGGGGGGGAGACAAAGAGAGAGAGACATCTATAGGTTGCCTTCCAGATGGGAATTGAACCCGGGACCTTTCAGTCCTTGGGGCGACGCTCTATCCACTGAGCCAAACCAGCTCGGGCTAAACACAGAGTTTAATCATGGACACAGTGTTCAACTCTGTAAACACCCAGTTATGATATGAAAACATTAAATTCACAATTTAGATGATTTCAAAGGCTCAAATTACCCCCACCCCTTCTCTTTATCCCTGTACTTTTCTAAGGGAGAGGAAGTGCCGTTAATTCCCATTCAAAACTACTGTTTGGTTTATGCCTTTGGCCCAATTACTTAATCAGTTGCTAGGTTTCAATTTCCTCTTCTATAAAGCAGATAAATACTTGTTGCCAGGAGAGACAGAAGTACATTTTTGTTAATCCAAAAACCATGTTATGTCTCACACTATTCAGCATTTATGTTACATAGTAGCACTCTATAGCTTACAGTTCTCTACAGTTTGTAAATAAGTACGGAGCAGTTAACCCTTACCCTACTCTTTGGAATGCAGCCAAACGGGATCAAAAGAAAGAAAAAGATAAGTTTCCATCTGCGGAATGTTTCCTCCACCAGCTAGAAAAATCTGCAGGACTTTTCTCCTCCTCTTCTACGGCGATAATTTTTAAGAGTGGTCCTATAAGAGGAAGAGGAAGCCCCTTTAAGGCAACTTAGCACAATCACGCACATCCTGCGGGGTGGGGCCAGGGAAAAAGTTGGCGGCTCAAGAGTCCTCAGCAAGGGGATTTTGGAGAGTTTTTAAACATTCATGGTTGAAAACTGTGGACAGGTTTGGCATTATGCTACGAGGAGTCGCTTTTATCCTCAGCAACAAAAGGAGTCCCTTTCCTTGCTGCTGGCAATAGTTTTGGTGATCTCCTGCTTCATCACATCAAACCTGGCTCTTGTGACGCAGGTTCAATATTTAGAGTTTACTTTCCATTTTAAAAAAGCTGTCTGCGGGGAAAATGCTTTCTTCCTCTTGCTGGAAAAAAAAATACTAAAATAGAAACTCAGAAGTTTTCTGGGATAAAAGAAATGAAAGAAAAGAGAAAAAAAGAAAGGCAAGGAGAGGGGGGAGCAGACAGAAACAGGAAATGCTAGGAGGAAGGCAGACCTCAGTGGGTTTCTTTGGGAGTCCAGGCCTCAAGGGCAGGAAGAAGGAACTCAGTGATGGCCAAGCTGGTACAGGGACCAACTGATAGAAGGGTCATCGCCAGGGCGGGTGAAAGAGGCTGAAACAAGGAGCCAGGGAGGGGGGGGGGGGGGGGGGGGGGGGGGGGTGGTGGTGGTGGTGTCTCCAGGGCCACCGGGGCCCACCTCGTCCCGGCGGGAATATGGGGTCAGGGAGAGCCAGGGCTGTGTGGTGGCTGAGGAAGGTGCCATGGCAGGGCTGAAGCAGGGAGTGGCAGGCGAGGTGGGCGAGTATGGGGCCGCAGGAAGAAGGGGGGCTGAGCTCAGTTGGGGGTGCCTGCTGGAGTGATGGGGGACCTGGAAACAGGGGTGGGGTGTACAGATGTGGAGGGTGCTTGGTAGAGGATGGGGGGCGGACCTGGTGAGGCCTGAGGAAGATGAAGGGGGTGGTAGGAAGAGATGGGGGTGGGAGGCGGTGACGGAGGGCACTGGTGGTTAATGGAGGCGCTGGGGGCAGAGGAGGTGACTGGGGGCCGACGTGGGGCTGAGGCGGGGGATGGAGGTGACAGGGAAGCTGAGGAGAAGGGACAGGGACTGAGGTGGAAGATGGGGGCGCTGAGGAGAGTGATGGAAGTGACAGACAGGGGCGCCGAGGAAGGGGGATCAGGGAAGTGACAGGTGCTGAGAGGGGAAACGGGGGCGCCAGAGTCTGAGGCGGCGGCGGGGGGGCCCCGGGGGGCGCCGGGGGTCGC